CAAAGGTTCATCGGCGTAAGCTAGACCCATGTTCAATTCCTCAACGCTGGAATCATCGTCCGAATTTTTTACAAGTTCAGAGTTTTCCATTATATATCCCGGAATGAAGTTTATATCCGAGTCATCAGACTGATAACTGTCTTCCGAATCTGTTTCATAGTTAGACATGACGGCGATGAAAATCAGGGTAATCTTTAAAGGGGAAGTCAAGTCCGTTCTGCGCATCGGTTCTGCGCATAACAATAGAGGGCCCTCTGAGGTAAACATTGCCCAAATTTTGAATGTTTCGAATTTTTCTGAACACAAACTCTATTTCATATTCATGTAGAAGCATAACGAACCAAAATGGTGTAGATATTCAGACAGTACATCATATTTTAAAAAATACAGCAGTTCAAAATGTAAACAAACCGTTTGTTTACATTACGGACTTGACTTCCCCTTTAAAACTTCGACCGAAGACAAGTAAAGCAAAGCAAAAATGGCGGAATTTGAAATTATACAAGTTAATCAAGGCTAAATGCCGACTACCTTGGATGACGTCAGAAAACTGGCTCGACCCAGGCTCTTTGTGGTTACAAAATACGACGGCGCCGGCCCATCGAAAGCTGAATTCAAAACGCCATAAAAATCGAAGGATTTGCCCAAATTTAAAATTTTTTTCACTGAAATACTAGAAATCATGCCAAGATGTGATATCGCTAAAAAAAGTTTGAAGCATTAGGGGCACTTTAAGCAGCATGTCTTCTGCATCTGGGAGACAAAATGATGTAATAAACTCTCTCCGATTCATAGAAGAGGTCTCAAGCACATCTGACCTAGCTAATATAGTTAATGATGCTTTTATTCTTCCGATGAAGATTTTCTCACCTCTTAAGACCACACGATTTTCAACTCGAACAAGATATCCCTTCATCCTTTGTTTTATCCGTTCACTCTGTTTTTATGAAGTTGTCGTTGTTGAATCCAACAAAAGCTCAAGGTCCAGATGGCCTCCCGGCTTGGCTACTGAAGGAGAATGCAGACCTTCTCGCAGAACCCATAGCAGAAATTATAAACAGCTCCTTCCGCGAAAATAGGTTACCACCATCATGGAAAGAAGCGGATATAGTTCCAGTTCCGAAACAAAGAATAGTAAAAGACATCAGCAAACACTTAAGACCAATTTCCCTCACGCCAATACTTTCTAAAGTTGCTGAGGAGTTCATCATACAAGAATATGTCAAACCGGCGGTTTTAAAGAAGAATAAAAGTACCGTAACCAATTTGGCTCAATTCCAAAATCATCGACAACCCAAGCTTTGATCAGCATGATACACACATGGAGCAAGTATACGGACGGAACTGGTTGTGGTTGTTTTCGATTTCAGGAAAGCTTTCGGAAACCAATAGAAATTGTGACTACCATCAAATTACTGGGTCTGAACATTTCCAATAATCTTAAATGGAACCATCATATAGAGGAAATTGTTAAAAAAGCTTCCACCCTGTTGTATTTCCTGAGGCAACTAAAACGTGCCAAAGTTGCCGAAAAGGAACTTTTAACTTTCTACAAGACTTGTATTCGTCCTATAACCGAATACGCCTGTCCTGTTTTCCACAACGGATTACCCACGTATTTGTCAGATGAATTAGAACGTATGCAAAAACGCGCAATGCAAATCATATTTCCAAACATTAATTATCAGGACGCACTGAAGAACAGTAACTTATTTTCTTCATACGAAAGAATAGATAGATAGATATTTATTTGCCCACAAAACGATATATATATATATATATTTCAAAAACTCATTAATAATTCATGAGGAAAACACAAAGAAAAATCATAAGCGTGTCGTATCTTTATATGTGATAGAGATTTCCCTTGATTTACATAAACTTTAACTTTGATTTTCTCGACTTACACAACGTATTTTTTGAAAA